AATGGAAACTGTCAGGAAGGTTTTTACTTATAAGATAAGATTTTTCTTACTATTGTTACTAATAGTATTAACCAAATTGAGAGGCCAATGAGATGAATCATTTCAAGAATATAATCTGTTTTGTTGGATATAAATTAATAGTTAGATTGCTAGTATTAAGTTATATATAATATAAATAATATTTGATGTACTTCTTGTATCAATATATATTAATAAAAACAACATCTAATATGATTTATCATAAAAAAAAAAATAATAATAAATAATTTTGTTTATTTTATTTTATTTTATTTTTTTCAAGGTGAAAGTGCAAATTCATAAAATTTTTATTAATAAATATTTTATTTTTTTATTATTATTTTTTTATTTTGCATCAACAATAATTGTTTAAGTAGAAGTTATTCCTAATAATGATATTTATATTTATCTGAGACAATATTATCTAAAACAATATTATAATGTATTGATTGCCAATAACATCTAACTCTTATAAGAATTGTTTCAAATAATGATATTTGCTATAGCTTGTTTCTAACTAAAGATTTTAAAGATTTTCTTCGATTCTGTATTCGATTCTCAAGTTTATATTAAATTTAATAAATGAGTATATCACACCATTATTTTTAATAGTGTTTTGAACCTCATGCAATTTCCTGCGATTCTGTTTAATTCCAATTTTCAGAACTATATTCTTAACTATATCAGATATAGAGACTAATCTATTGAATAAAGGAATTTTTTTATTTGCTTAGTAGTATACATTTTCACTAATAGTTAAGCTTTATTTTTAACTGGAGAAGAATTAAAAAAAAGTTGAAAGGAAGTATTAGAGATAATATCTATAGCAAATAAAATATGATAATGATCTCTATAGCAATATAACAAAACAAATTAGCAAAACTTAGTCAAATCTAAATCACACAACAACTTCTCTATATTAATATCAACTATTATAAACATACCTATCATAGTTGCTGACTCATATATCTAAAATAGATTCAACTTTACTAAATACATTTTCAAATTAATTACAGATTATTTTAACTTTCTTCTATTCAATACTAAGTAGGTAATTATAGCTATTTGAAGTCTTTTGACAAGATATATTGTTTTAAAATTTTTTTTCAATATTAATCTAGTGGTTACTATAGACAAATTAATATTTAATCTATTATATTATTATATATAAAAGATATTGTTTCTTTTACAATATATATCTATTATTATATAAATTAAATAAGAAAATAATATTTATTTACAAAAAAATAAAAATAAAATCATAAATTTTTATTTTTTAAAAAAAGTATTAATTGAAATTTATTTAATCTAATTAAATTAAATTAAATTAAATACAAATCAAATTGGATTGAATTGGATTAATTCAAAAATTTTTAAATTTCATTTAAATTTAAATCATATGTTTAAAAATTGAATTAATCAAATTTAAATAAAATTTGATTTGATTTGATTCATTGTGATTTCTAATTAATAGCAACAAGCTAATATATAAATAATTTAATATAGTCTAGTAATATATAAAATAGTTTATAAATAGTAAATTTATAATACAAAAAATACAAATATAAATTAAATAAAATTTATACTAGATAATATCCAGCTAGTTGAATTAAAAAAAAAATTAAATTAAAACAATTTTTAAAATACAGTGAGTCATTAAAAAGATCCAGCCACTTTTAAATAGTAAAATTTTATTTATTTTTTTATTTATTAAACTTATATATATAATTTTTATTATTAATATTTCATATGATATCCATTTGTGACAATGATTGCATTGACTTGATTAGGCATACTGTCAATCAGTCTTTGATAATATTCGAATAGAAGATCTCTCCATGTACGTTTCACATATTTTTTTAATTTTTTAAGGTTTGATGGAGCAAATGATTTTTTACAAATTGCCTCTTTCATTTCATGCCATAAATTTTCTATAGGATCAGGTCAGGGCTCTGGGGGACCATGATAATTTTTTGATTTTATGAGCTTCGTAAACAGCCATGGCGACTTTTGACTTGTGCGATATTGCATTATCCTCTTGAAAAATATCATAGCATGAAAAAAATTTTTGCATAATAGGTATGACATATTTTTTAATAGTTTTAGTATGTGCAACACCAATAACCGATCTATAGAGAGAAACAATAGGATTTAAGCCACCATAAGTGAAGTACCTTCAGAACATTAGGCTTGGACTGTGTTTCGTCGAAACAGAAATACAGGATAGCTTAAGTTCTTTATTTGCTTCTTGCCAAATTCGATTACTACATTGGAATAGGGAAAATGTGAATTTGTCTGAGAATAAAATTTTTTTCTATTGCCAGGGTTTCCAATATTTATGTTGGAGGGTGAATTCTAAATGTTTTTTGCGATTTGTTTCAAAGATATACAGTTTCGAGCAGGGCCTGCAAGATCGAAGTCCTATTTTTTTTAGGTTTCATCTAATAGTGATGGTAGAGATAGTTTTTTTAATACATGCTAATCAAACATTTCTTATTTTTGTGACAGATAAACAGTGATTATTTTCTTCATCATTCGTGATGAAATCTTTGAGCTGGGCTTGATCAAGAAAGATAAGAAGCAGGGGTCTGCCTGGTAATTTATTCGAAATGACTGTTCCAGTTTTTTTAGAGTGTTTAATGATGTCATTAACTGTACTTTTTTCACATCCTAGCTTACTGACAATAGTTTGACTTGTATCGTCTCGAGCATACCTATATAAGATCACATTACGCTGATCCAAGGACAAAGGTTTATATATATTTATAGCTATTACGTTTATGGTCAAATCACAAGTTTATTTAATGTAAATAAAAGAAAAAAACCTGTATTATATATATATTAAAAAAAAAAAATTAAAAAAAATTAAAAAAATAAATTGGCCAGACCTTTTTGATGACCCACTGTATTATATTTTTTGTAAAAATTTGAAAAACCATATTATGTTTTTATAGTAACTTATATATAAAACTTTGGTATTAACTTATATTAAATATAAATTTCAAGTATAAAAATAATAATAAAATTTAAAAATGTTCTTAAGTAACCTTGAACTATAAATTTTCAATAATTATTAATAGTTATATTAAAAAAATCAATTTTAAAAAATTATGACTTATATTATATCTAGAAAAAAAAAATAATAAATTTTTATTATAACTTAAAATTAATTTGTATAAATCAATCACGGTATTTTATATATTAAAAATATATCGATTATACTTGATATTGTCAAAGTCTTTGAAATTTATATTTAATTCTTAGAAAAAAAAAGTATATTGTCTTATGTTTCGATATACTTAGTAATTTAATAAATCACATGATAAATAATAGAACGAGACTCTAAACTAAATTCGGATTAAGACAACTTCTTGGGGTCGAGTCGAATTAAACCGAACCTTTTGATATCCCTAGATATTCTTGAAAGACTTTCTTAATGAGGTACTGTAATGGTTTATCATAACAACGTAAATATAGATAATACAGTTACTTTATTATAAAAAATCTTATACTATATTATAGATTAACACACGCGTTGCGTATTGGATCATTAACCAATCAGAGTGTCTTATTTTGTGGTGGATAATACGCTGATGCGCGTTCATATATATAAAACAAAAAAACGCGCGCTAAAACAATTATAAAAGTAACTGCTTTAAATATCGTTTCTTTCCGCGTCTTCCTCGGTACTTTACAATTTCAATTACCTAACAACTCGTCCCTTCAATTTTTATTTTTCCCTGTCGAAGGCAATTATGGAACCAACTAAGAAAACTAATGAAAAGCCAGAGGAAATTGAAAAACAGATAGCACTTCGCAAAGAAATTGACGAGTTGCTAAAAAACTTCCCTGAGTTTGATGGCAAATTTGATGTAATAGAAAGAGTCGGAAATGGTAAGCAACAAGTATTTGCAATATCGTGGTAACATATATTTTCACTGATAATTAATAATATTCATTCTAGGAAGTTTCGGCTCCGTATATAGAGCCCGTAATTTAGAACATAAAGCAGCTGGAAGGGCCGATTCTGCTTACGGTAGTAGGAGCCCTTCACCATCCTTGGTTGATACGAAAGCACATGGAAAAAAACGCAAATTTGAAGAAGGGCCTCAAAAATCTTATAAATATGTTGCCATAAAAAAGATAATTGCGATCAGCTCTGTCCATAGGATTAAAAATGAAATCTCTGTATTAAAAGAATTAAGGTAAACATTATTTCTTTTCTATTTATCATTGTTTCAACTTATGAGTAACAATGTATTTATAAATTCAGAGGACATGAGAATATTATTCAAATCCTTTCGGCTCATCGATATGAAGATGAAGTTCTTGTTATCACCCCACATATCGAACATGATGAATTCAAGGTATGCACGTGGATCTTTAGGTCCTGAATAATAGATCACTACTGACTAAATGTATGAATATCGTTTCATTAGAGCTACTATAAAACTATGAACATGGATGATATTAGAGCATATTTTCGTTCACTCTTCAAAGCTTTAAAAAATATACATTTGCATAACATTATCCATCGTGATTTGAAGCCTGGAAATTTCCTTTATAACATCAAAGAAAAAAAGGGTGTTCTGGTAGACTTTGGCCTTGCTGAGGTAATTTTCCTGGTTTCAGAAACATTATTCATATTCATTAAAAAATTCTAATACAAATGAACAACAGAGGATAGACACTTCAAATAGCTACCAATTCAATTCCCATAACACTCATAGTGTAACACGATATCAAAATAAGATCATGAATACGATGAGAAAACTTGGGCCACCTAAAACTGCACTCCAAACTTATCAGGAAAATAAGTTGCAGATTAAAAATAAGGAATTTATTCCAACCTTATCCCTTACCAGTGAGCTTACTAAACAGCAATCGCGTATTCCATTAGGAGCTATTCAAGCCATGGATCAGAACACTGGACAGATTTCCGAATGTCCTCAAAAACGAGTTCGTACTTCATCAACCCACGTTTCAAGATCGAAACAACTTGAAGAAGAAATGTAATTATTTTTATTTAATTTGTAATACATCCATTTAATTATGATAGTCATTATATGTCATTATTTCTTAGAAAAACAAGAGGTTTTATAGATGTAGAGCGTAAAGGTGACGAATTTAAACCTGATTGGACTGCGAATCGAGCTGGTACAAGGGGCTTCCGTGCGCCTGAGGTTTTACTGAGAGTTGAAAAACAAACTGGAGGTAGGTCACTTTTAATAACGTTATCCTCATTATTTTAAAATATGTCTAATACGAATATTGTTATAAAGCAATTGATGTTTGGTCGGCTGGTGTCATTTTGATGTCCATATTATCTCAACGATATCCGTTCTTTAATTCACATGACGATACTGATGCTATTGGTGAATTAGCAATTCTCTTCGGAAAAAAAACAATTCAGGATTTGGCATCATCACTTGGTAAGCTCACTTCATTATCATGCACAAGGTTTATTCCAAAAATAAGATTAATAACATTATTTTTATGCAAAGGACGTACTTTTAGCACCACAATTCCTTTGATTTATGAAACCGGTCTCAAGTTCAGAAATCTTTTAAACACTATGAGACGCGATCTATTTCCTGCAGATGACAAACCACGACTTTCTGATGCCTACAAAGCAATCGAACTGCTTGAAAGATGCCTAGAACCTTATCCACATAAGCGAATTACTGCCGAAGAAGCACTAAATCATCCATTTTTGCGCGAAAGTCCATCAAAGCAGGCTTGATGGTCAAGATTTCAGTGTCACCTCGGAACTTTGGTTAGCTTAATTAAATGCTGCTTAATCATGACGTACAAATTCAAAAATTGCTTTAAGTAGACTAGATTAAATAATTTATAACATGTTAGACACATTCTGTTAAGAAAAAAAACTGTTATTTATAATTAAATATTAAAACTTGCAAATTTTAAATAGCTTTTGTAACTAGTGCTAAAATAAAAATTAAAGTTAAATAACGCCCCCACCTGGATTCGAACCAGGATCCTTTCGGTTAACAGCCGAACGCGCTAGCCGGTTGCGCCATGGAGGCTTATATATAGCGCCACGTTAATATATAAACATGAGACTTAAAAACTGTAAATTTCTTATAAATAAGGTTATAATATAGTACACACCCCTATAATAAATTACCAGACATCGATCAATTACTAAGTAAAAATTTAATTATTCGTTCTATATGTAAATTTTTAATTTTGTTAATAAACATTTATAAGTAATACATAAAAAGAAAAGTACTCTATTGCGATCTTTGAAGAATTTGTTTTCGTTATGACGAACTTTATAAAAAATTTTTTTTTATATTTTATCAATTTATATTTATATAATACAAATTTACTAATTTAAATACATTTGTGTCTCGTACTATAATGGTTCAGTATGATTTAATAAAATTATGACACCAAGTTAGTACCATTTTGTAATATGATATTATTTTTTTAAAAAATTTTTAAACATAAAAAAACATATATTAAATTGCAACCAAATTTTTATTATATTTTAATAAATAATTAAATAAATTGATTGACATTTAATACTTTATAAGAGAAATATATATAGCAATATTTATTATAATTTTATTAATTATTAAAAAAAACAATAGAATTTTATTTATTTATTTTTCTATAATCAAGCAAGTATTTATTGTATTTATTTAATTTTTTATAATTAATAAACATAATAGTTACATTAAAAATAATTTATAGATATAATTCTTGTAAAAGAAATACAAATATAAATTAAATAAAATATATTAAACAAAATTTTGCTAGTTGAAAAAAAAAACAAATAAATATTAAAAAATTTTTTTTATTAATATATATTAAAAACAAATATTAAAAAATTTTTAACTTGACTTTTATATATTAATTAAAAAAGTTATTTTTTAAAAAATTTTTAATTAATTTTATTTAAATAAAATTGAATAATTATTTGATAATTTTATATAGATTAAGTTGAATTTAAAAATTAAAAATTGAATTAAATTCAAATTTAATTAAATAAATAATTTTAAAATTTAATTTAATTTATTTATTTATTTATTTTTTTTTTTTTGGGTTTCCCCTCATAGGTAAGCATCATTTCTTTTATTTGATATTGTATATAATATGTATACATC